AAAGGGGAGTAACTCTGATTGTCTCCCAAACTCCACACTCAATCCGAAGAGGGACAGTAAACCAGAGGAGTAAGCAGGGCAGTGAACCCAGGGTTGGTTGAGGGCATTTGCTTATCTCAGAAGTCTCTATGGGTTTACTGCTGTATAGGAGACAAATGACCAAAGACTAGGTTTGGGGTCTGAATAAAGAGTTGAGACTGTGACCTGCATAAGACTAGAAATTCCAAGGGCTATATATCCTACAGAAGCAAACTGGGTGGAAAATAATCCTTTCTACCAGTCCAGGAAGACAAGCAGAGTTGCAATAGATCTTACCAGTTCCCAAACTATGTATCATGAAATCTAGCTAAATAAGTTTCTGGTAGAGTAGTTGTGACACACAGGCACACAGACATCACCCCTCTACCCCATTACCACCATTGTAACAGGTAATCTGTGTCTTAGTCACTTGCATCCTAAAGAATATGACACAATACTTTATGAAAAATAAACTGTACAACTGAAACCAAATACTGGCACATAATTACCAAGAACACAGTCCCCATTTTCCTGGGCTTAAAAACTATACACAGAATTACAAGACTGATTAAAAAGATAAAAAGCCTACTCATTTTCTAAGTATCCAAAGAAGATAACAGAGTTCAGAAATTACATCAAAAGTGGTATCATCTGCAACCACTGCAAGAATAGTATCAAAGAATTTTTATTCACATTCACATTTTTATTATGCTTCTAGATAGCTATAAAAAAGGAGTAAATGGTTGACTCACAGTCCAAAGCAATTTCAAATATTAACTTGAAAATTTGTTTAAATAGAGATGAAAGTTGGCTTTGCTGTGAAAAAGGATATAGATCAACACAAGTGCACACACACACACCCTACATACATTTGAGATTAAATAGCATCATGTTCCCCCCACCTGTTTAACTATATTCTGAAATGTTTTCTGTTGAAATTACTCAATGTTAACTTATGAATAACTGTATTTCAATGTCATCTTATTAATACCATAGTGAAAGAAATGCTTTTAAAACATGGAATTCTTCCTTATAAGAAAACACTGCACGGGGCCTCCCCGGTGGCGCAGCGGTTGAGCGCTGGGTTGCGAAGCTGCCCGCAGCCTCTGCGGCGCCGGTTCGATCCCCGGCTGCTCCCTGGCCAACGGAGGAGGGTCCCACATGGCGCGCAGACCTCTCCTGCCGCCCGCTGCTCCCCTCAGCAGTGTGCTTCGGTCCTTCTGCCTGCTCTGCTCCCCACTCTGGCTCTGGTGAATTCTCTCACCCTCCCACGCTTCTGACTGTACCCAGTGCATGTGTGAACAGAACAAACAAACAAACAAACAAAAAAAAAAAAAAAAAAAAACATGCCTCTATAAAAAAAAAAAAAAAGAAAACACTGCACTGCACATATATGAAACTAGATAGGGTTGAAATTTTAATCATTTTAAGGACCTCTAATAATTTTGCTTTATAGCATTGGGTTGCCTTTTTCAATATTCAAGTCTCAAAATTCCTCCAAAAAGGAAATGTTATGACTAGTCAAGCCAAACATGTCATATTATAAAAGATATATTCCCATGGATATGATGTTTTAGGAAATTTAGCAGTCATAGCATATATAAATATCACATCACATTACTCTATAGAAAACAATGCCAACATACCCTGGACTTTTGGTTTCTGCTGTGGAATATGTTTGTTCTCAATGAACAGAGGGCATGTTAGCCCTTTTATTTTTTTAATTAGCTTGTGACACTTTATTTTCTATTTTTTTGAAGTATAACATTAAACCAGGACCTTTTGCTTAAAAACAATTATCTGGAGATACAAAAAGATTTTTTCTGGCAAATGTACTACTGAACAAAATTTACCTTTAAAGTGACAATGTGATTTGTTTTTTCTAGCAAACTCAGTACTAAATCAGAACTAAATCTTAGTACTTAGCTTCACCAAGCCCTTTTGTCAATTCAGATAGTCAAAAGAAATTATAAAACATAAAAGATAGGGGCCTCCCCAGTGGCGCAGTGAATTGAGCACCGCGCTATGAAGCTGTCCACAGCCTCTGCAGCACGGGTTTGATTCCCGGCCTGCCAGGGAGCATCCCACATGGCATGGCAGACCTCTCTTGCCTCGCCCGCTGCTCCCCTCAGCAGTGTCCTCAGTCCATCTGCCTGTTCTGCTCCTCGCTGTCTTGGGTGAATTCTCTCACCTTCCCATGCCTCTGGCCTGTACCCCAGTTCTTGTATAAATAAATAAATCTTAAAAAAAAAAAACGAAAACATAAAAGATAGAAATTCTTAAAGGAATAATCAATTTTGGTATTAATAATTTCCTAGCTTTCAGACTTTTTTTTTTGAAACTATGGATAAGGGCCTAGGGGTTACATCTCAGAGCTAGCACTCCTAAGGCCTGAGTTCAATCCCCAGTCAGCTAATCCACATATGGCAGAGCAGACCTCTCCTGTCTTGCCCACTGGCTCCCCTTAGCAGCGTACTTCAGAAAATTTGCCTGTTTTGCTCCCCACTGTCTCTGGTGACTCTTCTCACCCCCCACACCTCTGGCCTACACCCTATTACTTCTTCACACACAAAAAAGAAACTCTGGATAAGTGATGTAATATTCTCATGAATTTAATGTTTAAATAAACCTCTTATTAATTTAAATTATTTTATACTTATTTATAATGATTTCCTCAATTTTTAGCTTAAACAGGTATGTTTCTATCTACAAAATGAGAATAATTTGTCTCTACTACATAAAGAACTTATTTTTCTAACCCAAATGAAAAAAGTTGCTTTTACAAAGTAAATTATTAAGTTAACAGAATTACATTTCCTCTACTGGCTCTCTCTCTTTTTTTTTTCCCCTCTACTGGCCCTTGATGCTTGAGGATTTTCAAAAGTCTACCCAACAAAGAATTGAATTTTGGAATTAGTTGAGAATGATCCAAAATTTCCTCTGGTAAACATAATTTTAGACATAAATGAATGCAAATGACAAACATAATGCCACAGTTCTAGAAAAACACCTTTAGTCACAAATGACCAGATCTTACATAGGTTTATGGAATGCATTTAATAGCATAAAACTTATAGGGAAAAATGACCATATTTGAAAACAGCTACAAGGATCAAAGTGGAACACAGGATGGTAACAAGCAGAGTTACAGAACATACTAAAGAGGTATGTATAGTTAGTCCCACTGGAACATGTAGAGTCACATTCTTATATACCTATGAAGAAAGCAGAATAGAGACATTTAAAATGAATATCCCAAAGTTAGACCACCATTTCTTTCATTTTTAATTCTTTTCTCTTAAATATGTTTTAGCCAGTGCAATAACACATATAGTATTACTGATTGAATAATTCTTTTGGATTCAACATTTTATTAATAGACTCATATTCAATTCCCACAAATCTTAAATTCTAATGGTGCTGATTTTTTTCTACTTTTCAGAGTATGTTCTTAAAAAAAAAAAGTGATTATATCCCAATGTCACCTCTGTAATCTATATAAATATTTACCTCTTCTTCTACATTACTAGAATGCAGTTGAAGCCCTAGAGGAAAAACATTAAAGCAACAACTAAACTAAAGGTATCATTCCTGTTTTGCTGTTTCTCTCCCCAAGTAGCTTTTAAAAGTTTGTTACTCTGGGCCTCCCTGATGGTGCAAGGGGTTAAGTCTCAGCCCTATCTGCACCCACTGCAGCACCAGTTCGATCCCTGGCCAGGGAGCTAACCCACATGGTGCAGCAGACCTCGCCTGTCTCCCCTACTGCTCCCCTCAGTAGCGTATTTCAGTCAATCCACCTGTTCTGCTCCCCACTCTGTCTCTGGTGAATCCTCTCGCACCCCACCACACCTCTGGCCTACACCCCAGTTCTTGTATGCATAAATATTAAAAAAATAAAAAAATATATCCACAATCTATGAAAAAATATGCTTTATACTTATCTGAGTGAAAAATATGTTGCCTACTGGTTTATTTATTTTTAAAAAGATTTATTTTTATTTATTTATACAAGCACTGGGTACAGTCAAAAGCGCGGGAGGGTGAGATAATTCACCAGAGCCAGAGCTGGGAGCACAGCAGGCAGAAGGACCGAAGTACACTGCTGAGGGGAGCAGTGAGCGGCAGGAGAGTTCTGCGCGCCATGTGGGACCCTCCTCCGGCGGTTCGCTGCAGAGGCTGCGGGCAGCTTCGCAACCCAGTGCTCAACCGCTGCGCCACTGGGGAGGCCCACCTACTGGTTTAAAATTTAAGTTTATTTTACAGTTAGTTACTTTTGTTATAAATTCATTTGACTCCTTTTATTTTTTTATTTTTAGATTTTCATTTATTTATTCAGAAGTGGGGAGCAGAACAGGCGGATTGACTGAAATACACCGCTGAGGGGAACAGGGGAAGGGGCAAGATAGGTGAGGTCTGCTGTGCCATGTGGGTCAGCTCCCTGACTGGGCATCGAACTGGTGCTGAAGTGGCTGTGGACAGCTTCATTGTGCTGAGACTTAACCCTTTGCACCGCAAGGAGGCCCCTCATTTGACTCCCTTTAAAAAGTAAATTGTGTGGGCCTCCCCTGGTGGCGCAGTGGTTGAGCGCTGGTCTGCAAGGCTGCCCGCAGCCTCTGTAGCGCCGGTTCGTTCCCCAGCTGCCGGCGAGGGTCCCACAAAAAAAAAAAAAAAAAGTAAATTGTGGGCCTCCCCTGGTGGCACAAGCAGTTGAGCGCCTCGCTGTGAAGCTGTCTGCAGCCTCTGCAGCGCTGGTTCAATCCAGGCCGGCTGGCGAGGGTCTGTCTCTGGTGAATCCTCTCACCCTCCCGTGCATTTAGCCTGTACCCCAGTTCTTGGGTAAATGAATAAATAAATCTTAAAAAGAAAAAAAAAAGTAAATTGTAAAATAATGACACAGATTGTGCCATTTAACCAAGAAAGCAGATCTTAGAGAGAATTAGGAACAAAGAGAAAGACAGATAATACAAGCATCAGTTAAGAGGCAACTCATAAAAGAACAGAGGGTAGGAAAATAAGAGGAAAGATGTACTGTACAAAGACTTACCACTCTGAAGAAAAGAAAGTAGATTATGCTAACTGAAGAAGTTAAGAAGAAAACTGTAGCATCCTTAGACAAAGTCAGTATTACAGAAATATTGATACTCTACCTAATTTAATCACTAAAAACAAGTTGGAAGTAAAACAATAAAAATGGCCTGAAACAACCTGGATTTAGATTATATAATAACAATGTAACCACCTATAAATCACAGTTTAAATAGTAACTATGTTGAGTTTTGTTTTTCTTTTGTCATTTGTTCTGTGTAATGTATTGAAGTCAACTAATCCACTTTACCAAAAATTAAAAATTTTAAAATAAATTTTAATTCATATGCTACTGTTTTTCTTTGCCATTCCATACTTCATAAAGTACATCAACTATACTTAAGCTCTGGGACTAACCCCAAATCTCTAGCTCCAAAAATGATTCTCTGACACTATACAAATGAGGAACCAACCATTGTTGCCATCCACAGTGAAGAAACAACACCAAAACCAAACACAGCTTTCTATAGTAGAACATAAAATGCTACCCCTGATGTAGCAAAATACCAGATTTTTAAAATTGGCTGCATGATCTAAAAGCAAGATAAAATATTAACTTACTGATTTATATTTCATATTGTTCCACTGGCAGATATCCTTACTCTTCAAAGCACAAGGAGCTGCCACCTCTGACTGAGACCAGCATTTCAAAATTGGAAACTCTGAGGAAAAAAGGTAGAACACCAATCAGAAAACCTGTAGAGTAGAGCAGAGGCTAAATGGGGTCATTCCTGTTGGGATTTTAATATTCAAATATTTTCATATACAACGTATATGATTTGGACCTATCTGTCACATGATGTTTTACTTTAGCGGCCTGCTTAGTGAAGGCCTATAAAGTTATAATAAAGACTGCTGAAGTTGAGCATGAATTCAAAACAAATCCCATTACATTTTGAGACTACTCTTTTTAAAATTTAAATTTTTTGAAGTATAACATATACTCAGAAAGTGGACAGATCCTAATTATACAACTCGTTACATCTCCACAGAACAAACACACCCATATCAAGAACACTTGAAACAAAAAACTGCATAATTTTCTGTTGGAAGAGACACTTTTTCAGAAATTATTTAGAGTAAGTAAAAGGCACCAGAAACAGAAAATTAGGTTAGATGAACAAAACTAATGTAGCTGAACACTTTATTTTCTCAACATGAAATGTATGATAGCAACAAGTATATGACTTAAACCTCCCTATATGCCAGTCTTTCATAACAGTGGTACTGACTTCTGTAAACATTCTCATCAGTCCAAATTTGGAAAAAAGTATAACCAAAACCAGAAAGGGGTTAAATTTAAAAAGGGCTTGTTACTAAGTAGTCTGAAAATGGTGAAATCATAGTTATTTTAATTTACTCAAATCAACACACAAGCACAGAAATAGCAATTACACTCAACACCAAAACCTCATGGACAACACTTAACAACAAGCTAGGTGATAAAGTGTCATCTGAAGGGGAAAGTTGCAGAGCCTTTACATATATGTAATATATATTAAGTTGGCGTAAACACCAAAATATATGTAGTGTAAGTCCTACAATATCAGCATGAAGAAAGAGACAGAAGCAAAGGGATGAGGATCAATGGTAGCAAAAAAACCACCAGAAATTATATGACTACTCATAAAAGAGCACAGGACCATCTACACGCTTGTCAAAAAAAGAAAAAAGACCCTTGAATCTCATAACACCTCTGGGGCAGCTACCAATTTCCAGGAAATAAAAAGGTCAGATGAACTGCACCATGAGCACAGTCATCAAAACTCCAACTATGAGAAACAGGTCAAATGACCCAAATTCCTTAACAGATAAATTTTTTTTAAAAAAGATAAATAGATGAGATTCTTGTAAATTAAGAGACTTCATGGAAATAAAATTTTTTAATGGGCAATACCATTTTAAGCTGTAGTGTCTAAGAATGCCTACGTAGGTGATATAAGTATAAAGAAAACTTAAGGAAGTGATTAAAAGTCAGGACAGTGTGTTAGTCCTACAGGAAAGAAGGTGGTTATGATTGGGACAGGATACACTGATCAACTGAGGCTTAGGTAACTGACAAAGTTCTATTTCTCAATTTGGATGGTAGTATTTGCCTTATAACTCACTCACTATGTATTTGTGAAGTTTTTCTCAATTTGTACTTTATTTTGAAATCAAAAGTTAAAAAGAAAGAAAAAAGATCTCTTTTCTCATCCCTGTCCTTGCCTTCAGACTTGCCATAATATCATTATTTTTATTTTCAATCCTCAGAAAAGACTTGCAATACTCACCTTGGTCACAATACATCAATAAATCAGGTTTCTTGACTACAATAAAAGTTTCTCCATCTTTACTATGTGGGCGATGATAGCGGTAATGCAAAGGCAAAAAAGCTTGGAAACAATCAATACACTGTGAATCTTGTCTAGCATAAATGAGAACTTCAGATTCCTTGGATAAATAGTTGGGAGCTTCTATATTAAAGTCTTCTGACACCATTACTGCCTGTCAGAAAACAAATATTAATCCAGATTCAAAAACAAAAATAAAACCAGAAGATTGTTATACAGATGGATAGAAATGCAAAATTTACCTGTTATACATAATATCCATTCCCCTTCCATGTTCAATTTTAAGTTGAAAACACAAGATGTGAGCTGAATTTACTGAAAACATATTTACTAAAAGAAAATTGATGAAATTATACTCAAGATGCTAAATTTCCCCACAATAAAAATTATTTCTATGTGATTTCCTTATCTGTCTTTGATTAAGTGACAAAACAGGTACTGAGAGAAATTCTGTAGCATTATTCAGAAAGAATGAAAACAATGATAAAAACAGTTATTTCTGGATTGGGTTAAAATGGCCGGTTTTACTCTGGTAATTCCCTGCCCTTCAGGAGTAAGAAAGATCATAGTGAGTAAGACAGCACTATGGTCAGGAAGTCAGAGGGAAGGTGCACACTCTGTTGGGTACAAAAAGTTAACAGAAAAAAATGGCAAAAAATTTTAAAATGTTAAAAATTTTTTAAATATGCTAAAAATCATTTAAAAAGCAGTATTCTACACCAAAAGTAAAAATGTACAAATTAGTTCCAAATTACATGTGTATGTATATTGTACACATTGATATATGACATACACATTAATGTATAAATACATAGATGCACACAAAGTATCTATATATACATATATAAACACATACATACACACATATAAATATTTGTGTATGAACATGCTTTCTATAAGCAATGCAGATTCTCTGTGCAAATCCCTGACATATCTCAGAGAAAAAAACAGCATTAACTTCTTCCCATTTCAGCAAGTATCCTAATTCTATGTGAAGGTGACACCAATTGTTACATTCTTTCAGGTGTTGTTCCTTTTCTCATTCATGTACTAACAGATCTCCCTAGCAAAGGTCAATGAATTATATAACCTATGAGTCACAAGGAACCCCTAAGGTGATCACATTAAATCACTACCCTAATGGGAATATTTTTCAAGTAGCTAGCCGTTACCTGAATACTTTCAATGACTAGCAGAAAGCTCATTACTTTGAGTCATCTCACTTTATCTACTGCTAAAAGGTGGCTGATCTGCAAAAATCATAATTCATTATTTCATCTTCACCACAGAATAATAGCATGTTATTAAGAAATTTAAATTATGCATCAAAAATTAATCTTAAACTTGGACTGTAACAGACAAGGGCCCCCCCCTTTTTTTTAAGGGTCCACATTTTTTCATAACACTCAACTACATGTTACAAATAACCATAGCAAAGTAAAATTAATTAAGCTATTATAAAATTGTACTGCATGTATAACATTTACCAAGTCTTTTTTTCATGAACTAGTGCTCCTTTAAAAAAAAAATTCAGCAGGGCCTCCCCGGTGGCGCAGCGGTTGCAAAGCTGCCCGCAGCCTCTGCAGCACCGGTTCAATCCCCGGCTGCCAGCAAGGGTCCCACATGGTGCGCAGACCTCTCCTGCCATGCCTGTTCTGTTCCCTGCACTGGCTCTGGTGAATTCTCTCGCCCTCCCACGCTTCTGACTGTACCCGGTGCTTGTATAAATAAATAAATAAAATCTTTAAAAAAAAAAAAAAATCCACCAATTAAGACAGTAAAGATACCTTTGAACAACAATCTAAAAATGTAAAACCTTGTGAAAATGAAGTGTGTAATACTTTTCTAATATTGGGATATTAATTCTAATCTCTTTTTATGATTTGTCTGGCTAAATGTTTACCAAAACACTTGTCTCCCCACTGCTCCCCTCAGCAGTGTTTTCAGTCCTTCTGCCTGTTCTGCTCCCGGCCCTGTCTCTGAGGAATCCTCTCACCCCTACACGTTTGGCCTGTACCCCAGTTCTTGTATAAATAAAATAAATCTTTAAAAAGTAATTAAAATAATTCAAATAGGTGAAAGAATTGGCCTAAACCAGTTACAAATAAACTACCATCATAATTAATTACAGGTTATTTATTTTGCCTTTTTTCATCCATATATAAATTATAATCTTGTGAACTAAGATAACACGTGCCCAAATTTCTTAATAGGACTCATCTGAATCATTAAAAACAGGCTTTTGGGTCCAATATAGGGGTTAAGACGCAACCTAGGAAGCAATCCGTGCCCAATATAAACGTACTAAATTAAGAGTTCCCAGGAGACAATGATCAAAGTTAGGGAAACTATAACCAAAGTCAGATAAACCCTTAACCCTTTCCATGTCTGGAAAGAGCACCAACTTTGCAATTAGCCAACCCTTCATTTCTTGACTCCAGTTTATGCAATCCTGAAAAATTTACTCAGCTTCTTTGTACCTGTTTCCTTACAGACAAAATGTAGATAATATCACCAGAGTTGTTAAAAGGATTGATCGACATAAAGAGTATGGGCCAGTTCTTCAAAATTTAATTTTATCTTGCTTCCTTTAAAATAAAAAAGAAGCTCTCTGGCATATAGATATCCAATAAATATTAGTTTCCTTCACTCCCATATCCAAATTACACGGATATTGGGATAGCTGTCCCTCAAATTTAACAAAGTTGCTGCTGACGCATTAATTATTAATCATTAACCTTCTCAAGACATATATAATTTTCTTAGTTGCTAAACTATGACACATTCTTCCTAAAAGCATTTAACGTGTTCAATTCAGTTATTACTGAAAAGTATGACAAGTATCACTCACTTCTTAAAGAATACTCCCTAAAAGAATTTCTTTAAAAAAAATCCTCTAGGGCCTCCCCGGTGGCGCAGTGGTTGAGCGCTGGGTTGCGAAGCTGCCTGCAGCCTCTGCAGCGACGGTTCGATCCCGGGCTGCTCCCCGGCCACGGGAGGAGGGTCCCACATGGCGCGCAGACCTCTCCTGCCGCCCGCTGCTCCCCTCAGCAGTGTACTTCGGTCCTTCTGCCTGTTCTGCATCCTGCTCTGACTCTGGTGAATTCTCTCACCCTCCCGCGCTTCTGACTGTACCCAGTGCTTGCACGTATAAATAAATAAATAAATAAATCTTTAAAAAAAAAAAAAAAAAAATCCTCTAATAGGGTACCTCTGTTATGTTTCTCTCTTGCAAGGAAGCCAACTCATATGGATCCACAAAAAGTCCTGTTGGGATGAGCTGTTTAATTAAGAGTCGGCAAGTCTGTAAGTCCTCAATACTTTCTCCAAATTTCACTTTTATTACAAGATCTCTGTAAGACAAGTATATTTAAAGTAAATCTCTTTGCTTATCAGATGAGATAGCACAACATTATATTCAAATTATGGAAAAACTATTTCAACTTAGTTTTTCAAAAGGTTATAATGTCCAGTTAAATATAAGAAGTCAGGATCAACCATTAGATCTTTCATAAATTCACATGCCATAAGCAATAGTATTAGTGTGAAAATAATGAAAGATCAATGGAAAGGAACAGAATCCAAAAACAGATACATATTTTTAGTAAAGGTGCCAATAGTATATGATGGGAAAAAGAAGTCTTTTCAGTAAATGCTACTGAAACTACTAGATAGCTATATAGAAAAAAGTGAACTCTGGCTTCACCTTATACCAGACACAAAATTAATTTGAAATTAATTATAATTTCTTTATAATTGCCTGAGCTTTCTAGCTGAAGGGACTTTTTTAAAAAAAAAATTTTATTTATTTATGCATACAAGAACTGGAGTGCAGGTAAGAGATGCGGTGGGTGAGCGGATTCACCAGAGACAGAGTGGGGATCAGAACAGGCAGACTGACTGAAATACCCTGCTGAGGGTAGCAGCGGGCGAGGCAGGAGAGGTCTGCTGCACCATGTGGGTCACCTCCCTGGCCAGAATATAACTTGTACTGCAGTGGATACTGGTAGCTTCATAGTGCTGTCTTAACCTCTTATGCCATCCTAACCTGTACCAAATTATTCAAATTCTCTGAACCCTAGTTCCTGCACCTGAAAAACAACAAAAGTATCATCTATCTCACAACCTTTGTAAATTTAATATTGTATACACAGATTCTGGTAATATGTAAATATGTAAGCATGGTAAATAACTGTTTTCTTCTCTTCACCAGTTATCTTAACCACTATTTCACACTGTGAGAAATACGTCACTGATAAAGCAAGTGATTTTTCAGTTCACACATTTTTCAGTTATTGATTTTTTGTTCTAAATTATATGAAACAGTATTTTGATGGAAGTATGGGAAACTTACCTGTGGAAACCATCTTTCAAAACATCTTGCCTCAACGTAATTTCAGAACAAGTGGACCTTATGCCTACAAGAATCAAGATATTTTTTCTTTTTATAAAATAAGCACTCAATGAAAGAATAAATAATTAAAAAATAATTGTACGAATAGGCTTTACTTGCCCTGAAGAAATCTAACAAACCTAAAAACAAAACTCTAGAAACTTAAGCAATTTGAACTACACATAAATATACTTCAAACATAGCATAGTGGTTAAGAACACTGATTTTGGAATTAGATGGCCTAGTGTGACTTAATATATTCAATAGCTGTGTGGCTGTGGACAAGACAGGTTACTTCTTTACTAGCTGCCATGCAAACTTAATAGACGAAGTTCTTAAAACAGGGACTACCACATAGTAAGTTCTCTATTGTTTCTATTACTAACATTACTAACACTTTATTCATGTGATCCCAGGACACCAAAAAGAACAGAATGGCTTAAGATCCAGGAGATCTCAGTTCTAATCCCATTTCATTAAAATTATGTATTAGAAATATACTGGCATTTATATTGATATATTCTGCAAAAGAGATGGCTTTTGAAGATGTTGGGTGGGATTCAAAAAACTGGAGGATTTTTAAAGGTTCAAACGGTTTCCTTTAGAAGTCAGAATAATCAGAAATCTCATATTGACTCCACGCAGAATTCAGAAATTAAAACTATTGTTCAATGGCAGCATCACAAAATTAAAATTTCAGTTACTAATAATCACCAACTATGTCAGGCACCTTGCTACAGAACTTTATCCCATTATAAAGGCTAGAAGTATACAGAAAGAACACTAAAATAAAGAGAGCACAAGTGATTTACAAACATTATCGTAAATACTAGATTGGTCATGATTTTAGGGCAAAAGTACCATTTTCAAAATGAATTCGCTGCTCCTAAAGTCACCTTCAAGATTTTTTCTCTTAAATGTAACTTTATAAGGTGATTGTGGCATAAACTGGTTCTGAAAAACGAACCCTTCCACAGCTGGAAGACTCTTAAGAGATCACCAAATCCAATTGTTAAAAATTATTTTTGGCTCCATTATCCTTTCTTTCAATACTTTTGGAAATTTAACACTTAAACACGAAATAAGTGCACAGATACTAGCCTAATATTCTCATTTGGCAGACAGAGAACTCACTTGATCTGTACTGACTTTCCTTCCCCTACCAAAAGCTATTATACAAGTGGATCACAGCACCCAGAGAGCACTCTAGCCCCGACTTGGGTTTAAAGAAATAAATCTATTCGCTTGCCCGGTCAGTCCTAAAATCCCAGCCCAAAAAATGTTCAAAAATGTTCTGAAAACAAATTCAGCCCTTTCCTTTCCACAGCCACCCCTCCACCCGCGCCCCCCACCCCCTCCCCCAGTCTCTATTCTGAACTCGGATTCTCAAACCTCACAGAGCACTGAGGCCTTGCTGGTCCCTTGGTGGTCAGAGACTTCGTGCGCATCCCAAAGCATCCCAAGGTATTTCACGACTGTGCTATTTTAGCAACAGTGCCGCCAGTCCCGCCTTGAAACGCCAAAACTTGTCTCTCCAGGCACCCAGGTGCAGCCGCATAGCAATGAGCTTGGGGAGGCGGTGCGGAGCGGGGAGAGAAGAGAGATGGAAGGAGCACGCGGCCTTTGTTGTCGGCCTCCTCCGGTTCACCCTACAGTTCTAGGGTCGCTCGCCGAGGCCCAGAACTGCTCCCCACCCTCGTGGTCCTCAAACCGCGCGCGTACTCCCGCAGCCCCATCGCTTCCTTTACCAGCGTCGGGGCGGGCGGAGGTAAAGGCCGAGGCGGGGGTGCAGGCCAGCCCACCCGTCGCCCAGAGAAGCAGCCAGGCCCCAGCCTGGGCGGTCACGGCGCGAGCTGCCAGGACGCCGGGGAGCGGGCGCCCGAGAGGACGCGCGGGGACGACACGCGGACGCGAAGCCTGCGCACGCCTCTCCCGGCTCCGGGGGACCGCAGCAGGGCGGAAGTCGCGGTGCGCGCACGCCGGGCGTCCGCAGCTTCCCCGCTCGCCAGGCCCCCGCCGCGCAGGTTCCGCGGCCCGGCCCGCCCCCTCGGTCACGCCCTCGGTCACGCCCCTCGCTGCCCCGCCCCCTGCACTCGGGGCGGGGCGGGGCGCAGAGCCGCGCAAGCGCCGTGACTTGCGCCAGGGCTGTTGCTGTGGGAACGTCTCCTTAGGCTCCGCCCACCCCCCCGCCAGCTAGGATCTGACCCGCGCGCTGTCCAGGGAGCCTAGCAGGCTGTTTGCTCTGGGCCTCCGCCTCCACGCTTGCAGGTATTTGCGGATTCCGACCTCCTGCCGGGGAGGTCACCCAGCAGTGACGTCTGCCGGGCCGTAGCCGTCGCCTTTTCCTGCATCGCCAGGCTCCGCCCGGCCTCTGAGTCGAATGTCGTGCTCCTGCGTGCATCGCAGTTGGATGGAAACAACCCCCTCACAGCAGTTTTAGACGTTGGCCTGCAGAAGATGCACTTTCAGTGCTTTTCTAAGGGTAAGAAAGTCAGCCTTGCACAAGTGGGGGTGTGAGTAAGGGAAGGATTGTCTGCTGTAGACAAAATACGAACACTGTTTGGTATTGTGGAGGATGAGTGACAAGATGATGACATTCACTGATATCTAGGGAGAAAAGTATCAGTGTCTAATAAAAAAGAGTTAAATGTGCTGTCTAGCTTCATGACTTGAATTTGTAAGTAAGCCTAGAGAGCGTTCAGTGCTGGCTACAGCAGAACAGAGGGACCCAGGACAGATACCTCAAAGAGGAAAGATGTCAGAAGATGCTCTCTAAAACTGAAAATACTAGTATATACTCGCTATTAGGAAATTTGGAAAGAAATGAGGGGTTTTAGAAGAAACACTTAAAATAATTGAAACTGGTTACCTGTAGAGAAGATAACAGGTTTTTGTTATAAGCCTCATAGTTATTTTATATTTTGTATTTTGGGGGGGTTTCTTATTGCAGATTGTATTGTCTATTATCTTCCTTTCCCCACATAACCCACTGCCCATCACATAGCTAGTAATAACAACTTAGCATATGCCTAATGTCCTTTCCCCCATGCTTACATAGCATATAAAACACACACACCTTAATAAGCTATAAAAATTTTATTTTAAAAAGAGTCTGTAGTAGAAAAAGAAAGCTACATTATTGAGTGTCAATTGCATTCATCATACTATATACCTAGAATGAAGACTGGAAGGAATCAAGGATGATTGCTTTATATATCCTTCACCCCCCTCCTTAGTTATACCCCTCAGTTTTCTTTCTTCAATGAACATGTATTAAATAACTATGTCACTATAGTGAGACTCTAAGAGAACTGAGTTTATAAAATTATCCCCCTATGTTACTTTACCTCCAGGTTCGTAGTCACATCTAAAGCAGTCCCTGTCATTGTGTTTGGGCATTGTGGTCAAACCAAGGAAGAGGGAATGGAAAATATTAACCTGCAAAATAGTGTGCTTCTTATAACTGAAAAAATATATATGTCATACAGTAAGACAAATAAGTTGAAATCAAGGCCATGTAAGCATTATTGTCATTTATATGTAGAGGCTGATTCTGCAGCCAGTCTGCTTTTTTTTTAAATCAGGTTTCTAGATTATATGCACCTAGAGGATGTACAGAGGTTATAGCTTAATAGTGGGTTGTTGGAAAAGTCATGACGTATTTTTTCTGTTTTTCAAACAAAAATGCATCATGACTTTTCTGACAACACAGTATTAATACTTTGAATTATACCAGTGTGTGTGTATGGAATGCCTGGTATGTTTCAGGTATTGCGTTGGGATATTGTGGTAAATAATGGATGTGTTCCCTGCCCTCATGGAACATACAGAAGGGAAGGTAAAGATTAAATAAATAATTATTAAAAAACTCAAGTGAAATGATTGGAAAAGTATAAAGGAGACTGGTCAGGTCTGTCAAGACATAATGTTTAAGGTTAAAAGACTCTTGGACCTTGACACAGAGAGTACTTATACATAAACTTGTTGAATAAATTAAAACCACTCTAGAACATCTCGGACCAACTCAGGGTTTCATATACAATCTTTGAATACAGTACACTAAGAGATCCAAACTTCACAGCATTTGCAGGCTCATGTTTGAACAAATCCTTCAAGTAACCAGGGATCCAACAGGTTAAGAATAACCCAGGGCCAAATTGAACTTTCATGGTTACTCTTGAAACGTTGAACTTGACAGGCTAAGCCTGCATCTCTAGAACTGGACTGGAGCCAGATCTGCTGGGAAAGAAGAATAGTGAGGAGTATGATTTATTCAACACTTAATTCTTTTCCCCCTTTAGCAGGAAGTCATTATATGACTAACACATTTTCATCAGATTTCCTCTGATTTACCCTGAAGTGTATGTGAGAATGATGTGCACTGCTAAAAAATGTGGAATTAGATTCCAGCCTCCAGCTATTATCTTAATCTATGAGCATGAAACCAAGGGGAAAAGTCGCCAGCGCATCATGCCAGTCCGCAATTTTTCAAAGTATTCAGGTACTTTATGTTTTATCTTGCCTCATATCTTAGATATTCTGTAAACTACTTAATAAAAATAATTTGAGTCTCATTTATTGGAGTGGCATGGTCTTCAGAGTTAAGCAGACCTCAGTTCAAATCATAGCTCTATAGGCCATATGACTCTGGCTGAATTACTTACTCTCAGTGAGCTTCAATTGGCTAATCTTAGAGGAAATTACTAATCCCATCCTTTCAGAATGATAGGGTGGGTTAAATGAAATAGTATTATTTAACAATATTAATTCCCTTCTCTCCCTCCAAGTGTGTTTTTTACTTGTAGTCTTGATAATTTTTTAGTACTAGTAATAATATCAAAGAGGTATAAATACCTCTGTTTGTTTTCAGACAGTTTCTCCAGTTGAAAGTGTTAATGACTCCTCAAAATGATTTTTTAGGCCACACTCAGAGCTTGATATAAAGGAATAGCTCTGTAAAATAAACCATTCCAAAAATGCCATTTATCTACTTGGCTATAAAAGCAGATAATACTTTGAGTAGCTTGTGGTGTATCAGTAGTTTGTTGTATGTGATGTATAGTTTTGTTTCTCTTTTCTAGATTGCAACAGAGCTGCAGAACAATTAAAGAATAACCCCAGGCACAAGAGTTACCTGGAACAAGTATCTCTACGGCAGCTAGAGAAATTATTTGGTTTTTTACGTGGTTACTTGTGGGGGCAGAGTTTGGCAGAAACAATGGAACAGATTAAACGGGAAACAACCATTGATCCTGAGGAAGACCTGAACAAACTAGATGACAAGGAACTTGCCAAACGGAAGAGCATCATGGATGAACTTTTTGAGAAAAATCAGAAGAAGAAAGATGACCCAAATTTTGTTTATGACATAGAAGTTGAGTTTCCACAGGATGAACAGCTGCAGTCCTGTGGCTGGGACACAGAGTCAGCTGATGAATTCTAATATTAAACCTAAAAGAATTTATTAGGCTACAGAAAATCCGTGTTTATATAAAGAATGTAGATTGTTTCTAGCAAAATCTATGAAGAACACTAATATGTAGGTATTGGGTCATAGTTGGATTGACTGGTACTTTTCTGAATGACACATTTAGAGCATCTACTATGTAGGTGCATGAGGAATAGAGGAAATATAGAATATAGTGATCTGCCTTTAAAGAGTTATAATCTAACTGAAAGATAAGTAAAAAACTTGTGAAAAGTTAATTAACAGTATTAGGCCATCAAAACATGAGGACCAAGTGACTGATGAAGACTAAATAGAGTCAGTCTCTAGATTGCTGTAGGGTAGAAAAGTCAGGGAAAGCGATCCTTTAGTAAAGAGGTGGGACTTTGCCTGTATTGGATAGAAACCCAGTATAGGAAAAGGAAGGGCAAAGGGAGGTATGGGGAGAATTAATGAAGAGATAGGAAGTAGAAGTTTTTATTTAAGGAACAGTAAGCAAATTGTAGTTTGACAAGATTGTAACCAGGGATTATCCTATTTGCATTATGTCTTTATATGTATTTAACTCTGTTTAATATGTATTTAATACTCAGAATACTCTTACAGAATGTTCTGGAGCTGCAAATGAGTGCCATTCGATGGACAGCAAGGGAATTTGTCTTTCTGGTATCAGGAAATATATACTAAAGATATTCTGAAATCCTGACCCTCTTCCTATATATAAGAAGTTGATTTGTAAAATCGGAAATCTATCCATAATATATGAACAATAGTTACTGCCAGTTTAGGCCTATTCATGAGTTTAGATCTACAAAGAGAAGGTCATTGTTGAAAAAAGTTGTGTGTGTACAAATGCCTCTTTTGTCTTGTTAGAATATTATTTACTTGGTAGAAATCCTGTGTTTTCTAAAAGGAAATAAATACTGATTAAATGAAACTGCAAAAATAATTACTTTCTGCCTATCTTTACTCTTTATAATTAAAAGTTCTATTAAAGGGGTTATTATTATAGTGATATTACCAGGGATTTAAGATGCTCATGTCTCACATGTATATTTGCCAAGGTAGCAAAGGAATTTTTAGAATTTGAGATCCCTTCATCTCTACATAAGTGTTCTATTATGTAGATATAGATGATGTATTTTAAAAGTTGACCTTAGATGGTTTTCCCCTTTCACTATTACAAACTGCTATTGCAAATAAACTTGTACATCCTCTATTTTGCATGAGTGCATGACTATGAATAATACCTAGAGGGGAATTGCTGGGTATGTATATTCTAAATTTTTTTTTAATTAATTTTTTATATTTTTGCATAGAAGAGCTGGGGTGTAGGCCAGATGTGCAGGGGGTGAGAGGATTCACCAGAGACAGAGTAGGGAGCAGAACAGGCAGATTGACTGAAATACACTGCTGAGGGGAGCAGCAGGCAAGACAGGAGGGGCCTGCTGTGCCATGTGGGTTACTTAGCTTCCTGGCCTGTGGGTCAAACTCATGATGAAGTGGCTGCCCATAGTTTCATAGTACTGAAACTTAACCCCTAGTGCCATCAGGTTTAGGCCCCTGCCTCTGAAGTTCTTTAGCCCAAATTTTTGCTCTTGGAAAGGACTCCTCATTTGTGATATCACCTATTTTAACTGAGGGGAGCAGTGGGTGAGACAGGAAAGGTCTACTGCACCATGTGTGGGTCAGCTTCCCAGCCAGAGATCTAACTCAGGCAGTCATAGAGATAGCACTGAGACTTAACTCCTAGGCCACCAGGGAGGCCTGCGCTCTAAATTTTAATAGATATTGCTAAGTTGTCCTACAAAGAGGCTTGTTCATTCATTCAATATATATACTTTATGAGTACATACTACATGCGAAGCTTGTAGACTGGGGAGGCAGCACTACACACAATATAGTCCTTGTTTTACAAGGCTTATGGTTTAGTTGGAGGGGAGAGACAATAAACAAATACATAGAATAATGTCATACAAGTGCTTGGCTTTAAAAAGAGGCAATGGGGCCTCCCCGGTGGCGCAGCGGTTGAGCGCTGGGTTGAGATGCTGCCCGCGGCCTCTGCAACGCCGGTTCGATCCCCGGCTGCTCCCCGGCCACCAGAGGAGGGTCCCACATGGCGCGCAGACCTCCCCTGCCGCCCGCTGCTCCCCTCAGCAGTGTACTTCGGTCCTTCTGCCTGCTCTGCTCCCTGCTCTGGCTCTGGTGAATTCTCTCACCCTCCCGCGCTTCTGACTGTACCCAGTGCATGTATAAACAAAAACAAACAAACAAAACAAAAAAAAAAAATAAAAATAAAAAGAGGCAATGAACAGAAGATGGAGGGGATGGGAGACAGTATTATCTGTAGAGTGATCATAAAAGACCTCACTGAAGAGGCGACTTTTAAGCCAAAGCTGAAGAAGGTAAGGAAAAAGTTGATATGTATTTCCGCGGTAGTAGGTAAAGGTAAGTACATAGATCCCTGGTGTTGGAGTGTGCTTAATATATTTGAGGAAGAGCACAAGGAGGTCAATGTGGTTATTTCAGACTGAACAAGAGAAAAACTGGTAGGAGCTAAGGTTGCAATGTGTTTTACCAGTGCATAGTACTTACTATGAAGATTATGCCAACTTAAACCTTTATCAGCAAAGACATAAGCACACCCCTTTTCCCCACATACTATCATTAAAGTGTAATCAAACTTTTTATTCTTTGCCAATACTACAATTTAAATTTTTTTTCTTTTGACTTTTATTTTATTTTATTTTTTTTAATTTAATTTAATTTTATTTTTGTGGCCTTAGGGAAACTATTGAAGGTACAGCTCGGCTGAAGAGTGGCCCTGAGGTAGGGGGCGGTGACAGGGACGGGACTGGAGACGCGCTCCCCTGAGACTGGGAGCTGGGCGGGGTGGGCTCCGAAGCCCGGATGTGCGGGTACCTGTGAGCGGGAGAACCCGGGGTCTCAATTTTATAATTTTTAAATGGTTCTTATAGTTTCAGTTTACATTCCTTTTATTATGAGTGGGACAAAGTATCTTCATAGAATTAAGGGCCATTTTTTATAAAATAACTTAAGTGCTTTGTTTATTTTTCTATTCGGTTACTATTTTTTTTCTTATTTTTTTTTTTTTTAAAGTTCATTGCTAAGTCCTTATCTATGACAGTAGTTGCAGATATTTCCACCTTATTATTTGGTTGTTTGTGGTTTTGTTTATAAAGCTTTTTCCAGGCAGATTTTTCTCAAGTTAGGTCAGTATTTTTCTCTATGCTTCAATATTTTGTGTCATATATAGCAAGACTTAATTCACTCCAAGATTTTTTTTTTAATCCTCTGATGTTATTCTATGTAGGAATTAATTTTGGTGTAAGATGTGAGACATGAATCCAACACATCTTTTTTCTAGATGCCCATCCAATTTTCCCAGAACAATTATCTATTGAATTATCTATATTTTCCTCATTTATTTGAGATGCATCCTTTGTCATACACTAGGTTCCTATATGGTTGAAAATAGTTATCTTTTGATTATGTTGATGCTTCTGCAGCAGACTTCCCAATTAATGTTTCTCTGATGCTTGTTGAGAACATTTCATCTGTTCACTAAGTTAAAAGCTATAGGAAGACAACATGCCATATTTTTTGCCTTCAGATATTAGCATAATTTAGCCAAATCAACAAAACTAGTATATATGAGATGGAATTACTGATTATAGAGCAAAAGGGAGAAATCTTGTCATCTGAGCAGTTGGGAGGTTTTTTTTCCTCCATGTATCTTGTCCAGAGCTAATTCCTCTCTTGAGTTCTTTGACATTTTTCTCTATCAGAGTGTGGAAGTTGAAATAGGAAATTCTCCTCTCGCTTTATACTCTCAGTTCCTACTCTGCAAAGAGACTCGCTTCCACAGGGTACTCTGGGCTCTTCCTCACTGATCTTCCTTCATCAATTTTCTGTTCTCTCTGCCTTTCTCATTTCAGCTTCATTCTCTCCTGGCTCATTCTCTCTTTTTAGCTCATTTAGTTAGATACATCTAATCCCCACCCCTCAACCCCCCTTTAGAACATATTTGGCTCTAGTTGAGTTCTAGAGATGCATACCCAGTCTATGAAATTGAGTAAGAATAAAGCTTGAAGGGAGTGACTAGGATAGAAATTCCAGGATATGGAAAAAGAAACAGAAGATAATACACCTAAATCAAAAAGCTAAAACTATGTAACTTTTGAAAGAAAATAAAGAAGAAAATCTTTATGGTCTTGGTCAGCTCAGGTTGCTATAACAAAATAAACTGACTGGCTTATAAGCAATAGTTGTTTTTTTTTTTTTTTCCTTACAGTTCTGGACACTGGAAGTATGAGTCAGGTTGCAGCGTGTTGTGAAAAACATCTTCCAGGTTGCAGACCACTGACTTTTTGTAATATTCTCACATGGTGAGGAAGAGAACAGAGAAAGCAAGTTCTCTTGCAACTCTTTTAAGGGTACGAATCCCATTCATGGGGGCTCTACCTTATGATTTCATCTAATCCTAATTAGCTCACAGAGGCCCACCTCCTGATTCATTAGAAGTAAGGTTTTGACATATGAATTTTGAGAGGACATAAACAAACAATCATCCCACAACACTTGGATTAGGCAAAGAGGTCTTAAATGGACACCAAAAGCATGATCTATAAAAGAAAATATTTGATTTTAAAATTTTATAGTCTAATGATAATATGGAAAACATAAAAAAACAATTCCTGACTCAAAGAAATGGTCTTCAGATTGCATATCTGAAAAAATAAACTCTTTTTCAGTACATATACGAACGCTTACAACTCAGTTTAAAAAAGAGAAAGAAAGAACCCATTCTTGAAAAAAGCAAAAGATTTTCATAGACATTTCACCAAGGAAGCTCTGCAAATGATTAAAAAGCACATGAAAAGTTGTTCAACATCATTAGCTATTAAAGAAATGCAAATTAAAACTATAATGAGATACTACTTTCTACCTACTCAGATGGCTGTAAAAAAAAAAAAAAACAGATAATAAGTGTTAGTGAGAATATGGAGAAACTGGAACCCTCCTACAATGCCGGTGGAAATGTAAAACGGTATAGTCACTTGAAACAAGTTGGCAGTTTCTTAAAAAGTTACATATAAACTGACTATACCCCCCAGCAATTCCACCCCTAGGACTCTATGTAAAGAAATTAAAACATACATCCACCCACAGATTTGTATTTGAATATTCATCACATTATTATTTGTACTAGCCTAAAAATGGTAACACTCAATTATCCATCAGCTGGTAAGTGAAGAAATAAAATGTATAGTGTTAGTACAATAGCGTACTATTCAGCAAAAAGACATGCTAAATGAAAGAAGCTGATAGAAAATATTACATATCATATAACCCATTTATACGAAATAGTCAGAAAGGGCAACTCTGTGGAGACAGAAATCAGATTAGTGGTTGTCTGGCACTGTGACTGAGGAATAGAAATTGATTTCCAATAAACACGAGAGTGTGTTTCAGGGGTGAGGGAAATACTCCTGAACTGAATTGTATGTTTGCACAATTCCATAAATTTGCTAAAAATCATAGATTTGTGCCCTTAAAAACAGTTAAATTTTATTACATTTTCATTTATGTATATTGAGGTACATAAATTATACTTCAAAGATGATTTTAAGAATAGGAAAGGGAATAGAATTGATGTCTGCATATCATTTTTTTTAAGAATGAACAAGAAGGATCAAAGGCTCAAACCCCTTTGAGTTCACAGAGAGGTGGTGATTGGAAAAGGTTGGAGAAGAGACAGAATAAATGCATTCAGTCTACAAACACTCGCTTTTGAATATTTGCTCTGAGATGGTCCCCAATAAAGGAGTGGTTTTAAAGGAAAGGGAAGAACCAGAGAGAAGAGTGATATAGCCTGGTTATGATGCCAGGCGTGGGCGAGGTTTATGGTTTCAGTTTTCTCCTTAGTGGACCTGGTGAGAGCCATCTGATTATAGTGAGACTAAGGACGAGCTAGGGCGGAGAGTAGAGTTAGAGAGAAAATGAGAGTAGAGTTAGAGCAGAAGGACCTTTGCTCAGATGGGAGGGCGAGGTTGGCTGTGTTCAAACAGGTGGAGGAGGAAGACTGTGGGTGTCAAACGGAAATCCAATCTAGCATTAGTTAGAAGTGAGAAGGAGCTCCCCCTTCCTCAGCTCCCCTAAAAACAAACTAACAAAAGAACTTCCTGTGGTTAGTTTTTTTTTTTCAAAGATTTATGTATTTATGCATACAAGGGTTGGGGTACAGGCCAGAGGTGCAGGGGTTGAGAGGATTCACCAGAGACAGAGTGGGGAGCAGAACAGGCAGACTGACTGAAACACACTGCTGAGGGGAGCAGCGGGCGAGCCAGGAGAGGGCTGCTGCACCATGTGGGTTGCTCCCTGGCCTGACAGGGATGGAACTTGTACTGCAGAGGTTGCAGGATTGCTTCATAGTGCGGTGCTCAACCCCTTGTGCCATCAGGGAGGCCCAAGACTTTAGTTTTTTTGTTTTTTTTAGAGGCATTTATTTATTTATTTGTTTGTTTGTTTGTTTTGTTTTGTTTATACAAGCACTGGGTACAGTCAGAAGCGCAGGAGGGTGAGAGAATTCACCAGAGCCAGAGCAGGGAGCAGAGCAGGCAGAAGGACCGAAGTACACTGCTGAGGGGAGCAGCGGGCGGCAGGAGAGGTCTGCGCGCCATGTGGGACCCTCCTCCAGTGGCTGGGGAGCAGCCGGGGAGCAGCCGGGGATCGAACCGGAGCCGCAGAGGCTGCGGGCAGCTTCGCAACCCAGCGCTCAACCGCTGCGCCACCGGGAAGGCCCCAAGACTTTAGTTTTTATGCCTCTAAGTCCTTACTTCAGTGGACCTCCATTTTACACTATACAGATGCTGTTGTTTACCTCCCAACATCCTTTACCCTTTCTTTACTGCCTGCAGAGACTCAATATTGCATGGGTATAACCCATCCCACAGAAGGCTCACGTCCAAAGACAAATCCTGATTGGTCTAAATAAACCTCGGTCATCCCATTCTGTGTCTATGATTGATTGAGAGATAGGCATGTTACCCAACTCCAGCCAATGAGATGTGAACAGGGATCTATAAGGCCTTGTGAAAAAGGGATCTTCTATTTGTTGGAGAAAAGAAAAGCTCCCTGACATGGTCATATATGAATGTCATATCTGGAAAAAGCACAGTTATTTTATGGCCAGCCTGAGGATGTTGCTGATAGTTAATGAGAGCAGAACAAAGAAAATCACAGAAAGAAGGAGACTCAAGGAGTGCTGGCATAGCACACCTTGAGTCTGCCCTACTGAAGTGTCATAAAGTAATAAAATTTTCCATTTTAAAAGTCTATTGAGGTGGATAATTGGGTTTTTTTTTTGTTTGTTTTTTTGGTTTTTTTTTTGCTTTTGCTACCAAAAAGGAAAAAAAAAAATCCTGTTAACAAAGGAACCAACCTCCTTCATTGGCCTCTTCGTGGTCCAATATGGACCATCTCTCTCTCAAGGGTAGGCTCAGAGACCTCTGGGAAGAAATTGATGCAGTGGACAGAGCAAAGTATAGGGACTGAGGAAGCTCAGGGACCTGGCAATAGCAGAACAAAGCAGTGAACCTTGGAATCTAGGACTGGACGGAATGCCTGCCTGGAGCCAAATGCCTGCCTGGAGCCAGAAGGAAGCTGAATCATATGGGAGGGCTACGCAGTGTAAAATACCAGAAAGGGTGATATCAGAGGGAAGCTCTGGCAAGCTGTGACAGGCCAGCTTGGGCGAAAACAGATAAAGCAATTGGGTCAGAGGAGAGAAATGCTGAGTTAAGAGATCTCAAAAGTTTAGCAATTCCTGGGAGTGATGAGATCCAGGCATCTGAACTTTCTAAGCCAAGACTGATAAAGAAGTCCAGGAAATCAAGAAAGTTATAGAGTGTTATGAAATTAAGGTGTGCAGTGGAGCAAAAGCTCCAGTGTTCAAAGGTCTTGGGCACATGGATGAAGGACAAAGGGGAAAAGAAAATCAACCAAACCTTGAAGTCCTTTGGGTAGATATAAGATGGTTTTGTGCAACTGCATTAATACTTTGAAAGAGAAAATATAAAAGGATAGAATTAATGAGTAGATACTTAGAAAGAGGGAAAGAACAATTACATAGAAGTAAAATAGAAGAGGGTTTGATTTTTTTTTTAAAGACCTTTTTTTTAATAGAGGCATGTTTTTCTTTATTTATTTGTTTTGCTTGTTTGTTTTTTTGTTTTTTTTTTTTTTTTTTTGTTTATACATGCACTGGGTACAGTCAGAAGCGCGGGAGAGTGAGAGAATTCACCAGAGCCAGAGCAGGGAGCAGAGCAGGCAGAAGGACCGAAGTACACTGCTGAGGGGAGCAGCGGGCGCCATGTGGGACCCTCCTCTGGTGGCCGGGGAGCAGCCGGGGATTGAACCGGCACCGCAGAGGCCGCGGGCAGCTTCGCAACCCAGCGCTCTACCGCTGCACCACCGGGGAGGCCCCTGATTTTTTTTTTTTAATTTCATACACATGCTCCTCCAGAAATAAGCAATCTGGTTGAAAGACTGAGGTTCAGGGTAGAAACTAGGAGGATTAACTTGAGAAATATAACAAGTGCATTATGCATCCTAAAGCTATTACCCACAGCCATAGTTCCACCTAAAATTACTAAAAACTGCTAAAAATAAAAAGAAAAAAACACTATCATCAGAGATCAATATTTATTTTTGTTTTCATTTATCAAAACGTATCTGGCGTGGCACTGAAAGGATGTAACAGTTTCTTAAAACTTAAGCACTTAAGCACTATGTTTACACTTACGGCCAGGGATAGTGCTAGGTGAACTTTGTTCAGCCTTTACATTGTTTGCAAATAATTTTTTTAATGCTAAGTTTTCTGTGTGAGATGACATTCATTTGTTTTAAGAACTTTGATATGAACTATTCTAGATAATAGAAGTTTAGAGGTGAATAAGGCAAATAAGACCAGGCTTTCATGGAGTTCACATTTCAATGAAGAGAAATAAGTAAATAAGGAAGCTATATGAGTATATATGCTGGGCAGTGAATTAAGTAGGATGATATGGGCTTAATCTTTCACTACTTCATCATTTTCTCCTGCAGAATCTACAATGGATGGTAAGGAAAAAGGACAAAGTCCACATAGGCAAATTCCAAGATCATGTCACTAAAGCCTTTGCATGACCAACCCACATTTTATAACATTAAATACCCAAGAAGCTTTATTTTTTTAATCAACTTTATTTTTTCTAGATGTTTTCAGTTTTTAATTTGTTTTTGTTTTATTCCATTTCTATGACCTTCAAAGAGCTGATGAGATGTCACTCAGTTTTCTCCACTCTCTCCCTTTGCTCTGAGCCACGAGGAGTTCAAGCCTACCCTGGACGATGGGGTATCATTGAGGGGCCCCGTGTGTGTTGCATTATCTGCATGCTCCACTGTCACTGAGGTGATGACTGAGAAAGATCCCTCAGAGGACAGGATATCTTCCTTATCTTCACCCTTCCCCTCAGCTTCCTCATAAATAAAATGGGGCCTATCCTCGGTGGCACAGCGGTTGAGCGCTGGGTTGCGAAGCTGCCCGCAGCCTCTGCAGCGCCGGTTTGATCCCCGCTGCTCCCCGGCCACCAGAGGAGGGTCCCACATGGCGCGCAGACCTCTCCTGCCGCCCGCTGCTCCCCTCAGCAGTGTACTTCGGTCCTTCTGCCTGTTCTGCTCCCGGCTCTGGCTCTGGTGAATTCTCTCACCCTCCGTCTCTTCTGACTGTATCCAGTGTTTGTCTAAAACAAATAAATAAATCTTAAAAAAAAAAGATTAAAAAAAATTTCTTTAAAATGGGGCCCTAATACCTGGGCCAGTGAAAAGATTAAATATGATATTATGTGCATAGTACTGTACCTGGCAAGGAATAAGTGTTCAGCACATGGACATTTTAGAAAGGTCTCTTGCCTTCACTTCTCTCCTAAGCTCCACATAAAGGTTAGCAGGTTTTCAGATGTACAAAGGTAACATGTACTGTAACTCAAGGTAACTAAGACTGGGAAA